ATCTTGCGCATGGCTTCTCTCTTCTTGTCGGCTGGCCATTGAAGCTCGCAAAGCAGCTGCCATCTCTCGGTCCTCTTCCTCTCTGCAGACAACAACTCTCTCAGTCTTCCCTAGGCGATCTTATATGTTTAGAATGAGGCACTAACGAGGACCTACCGAATATATCTCCAGCTCCTGACGTTCTGCTGTCCTCCCGGGCCTCGTCCTCTTCCTGGTCTTCCCGCTCTGTTGAAGCGATCCGCTTCCTCATAGTCATCGCCACCAACTATCAGACCTAAAAAAGCCATTCAAATGCGTTTAAGGACAAATAAGCGGCACCTGAATAATCAGATCCAACTCACAAAAAGAGCAAATTCTGCTTTACCGTCATTTCTTCGTTGCTGTCTGGGTGCATAGCTGAACTGAATGTCGATTTGGCGATTCTGCCGTGCCTCTGCTCGGCTTTTGCTGTGGGCAGCAGCTTTGTGAGCCTTATAGTCAATCTCTGTGCGGAAAGCGTGAGTGAACTGCTCTGAACTGCAGCGCCCTTCCTCGCAGAGATAATGGCTCTCTCTGAAGTGCTCGCTGAGGTACTGGTAGTCACTGTAGGAAAAAAAAAAATTTAGATTACGATATAATGATTCTGTAGTATAGCTGACACTAGGTATGTTTACATTAGGGCTGGGTATTGAGACAAATTTCACAATTCGATTCGATTTCGATTCACAAGCTTGCAATTCGATTCGATTTCGATTACGATTCGATTCAATATCGATTATTTTGGATTTCAGTTACAATAAATGGTCATTTTTCTCAAGGGAATCAAATCTCTTAAATGCTGTAAAGGGAGTCTAGTTTTGTAGCCATACAAACACTTAAATTACACTTTTATTTATTTTTATAATAAGAAGATTATATGAAATATAAACATTTAAATGGTGGCTGTCATAAAAACTTGCTAGATTTATTCAAATATGCATTAAATATCGAAGAACATTAAGATTATAATGCATATGTAATATGATGTATATATTTAGCAAAATGCTCCTCTCTAGGAGTTATTTTTTCTAGCTGACTAACGAGTTGATGTGGTTTTTCTGAGGTAAATATGACGATACATGACATTAATTACAAGCTGTTTAACTGACGTCTTTCCACGGTGGAAACGCTGATTGAGCGAATCAATGTGACATGATATGGATTTCGATAAGTTGTACTCTATCTTTTAACACACTTTCAGATGCTCATTCATGTTTATTTCACGCTGTGACTGGTATTATTAACCCGGAAGAAAGATCAGCGCTGCTGCTTCTTTTAAGCTGCGCCAGAGCGATCTCACGCCACAGCGCCAAAACGCTATTTATGTTTTTGAATTTCTAAAGAAAATGAACGTAATTTGAAAATTGAGACTTTGTTTCATATCAATAGTAACAAAGGACAAAGATTATTGTGAGTTTTTGGATGTGCGCAGCCACGATACAATGTTCCATTCATTCAAATGAAACAGGATGACTAATCGATTCTTGAGATTTAAGAATCGATATCGGTTCGTAAAAATGAGAATCGATTAATATCGAGAAATCGATATTTATTACCAGCCCTAGTTTACATGCACTATTTTTCATCAGTTGGAATGAATCCAATCTGATTTCAGCAAATATTTAGTCTATTTTAGGGCTGTGAAATGATTAATTGCATCTAAAATAAAAGTTTGTGTTAACATAATGTGTGTGTGTAGTGTGTATAATTATTTTGTATATATACACGCATATGCATGTATATATTTGGGAAAAATTTGTTATTAATATATCAAATATTTATATTTATGTATAATATTAATATAGTATAAATATATATATAAAGGACATACACGCAAATATTTCTTAAATATATACATGCATGTGCGGTATTTATATATACAAAATAATTATACACACTACACAAACATATATTATGTAAACACAAACTTTTATTTTGGATGCAATTAATCGTTTCACAGCTCTAGTCCATTTATATTCAGTCTCACCAATTAATTAGTTAGTTAAATTGTAGTAGTAAAACATACACGTTTTTACATGGCATAAAACATGTAAACATACACATAACGGCACCGCACACGTGCGCGATGTATTTTTTTTTTATCTGATTGAGAAATTAGTCGGATTCAAATGTTTGAAAGCTTAATTTTAAGATTTTAAAAATTACTGCTAATTGTATTATTTCATGTCTACATGACCCCTTTCAATTCGATCAAAAATTGAATTCGTACTATATACCCATTATTTGGGTACATGTGAACGAGTCACTTCTGGAAATAAATGTTAATAGAAGTAAAAAATAGTGATCTTCTACCTGTAATACTCCTGAGCTCCATCTGCATCACAGAAATGGCAGAAGTAATGATCTCGTCGCAGGTGCTTCAGTAGCTCATCATTGTCCAGGTAACGATCATCACAGAATTTACAAAGCGGATGTCCACGATGCGAGGTGTCATCCGGGTCCCCTTGCGTTCGATGGCGAGCCAGTTCTTTTCGATTGTACCACTTCCGCTCGTACGAGAATATCTGTATACAGTTTGGCAAATCATTCATTGTACGCCTGAGGAGCTTGCAAACTAAATAATTCAAAAATACATTAAGCTCTAATACGCTACCTTCAGATGCTTAGCACATAACTTGCAGCAGAAGAGCTCATGTTGTTTCCGCATATGTTGCTCTAATTCTTCAAATTTGGAGAACACTTTTGGTTCTGGACAATGTGGACATTCATGTAACAAAATCTTCCTGAATTTGTAGTAAAAGATAAAAAAAAAAACACTTGTAAGTAACAGGGTCCCACTTTATATTAAGTGGCTTTAAGTACTATGTACTTACATTGAACAATAAGTAAAATGTATTATTCTGTTCCTGTTGTATTGTAAAACACTTTTGCTGCTATTGAGGTGTGATACGGGTAAGGTTAGGGACAGGTGTGGTCAGGTGGTATGGGTCGGTTTACTGTGTAATTACAAATGTAATTACATAAAGTAATTATGGCTGTAATTACAGGCTGGTATTTCTAAAATATAAGTACAATGTAAAAACATGTATGTATGTATGTACACAATAAGTCCATTGTATCAAATTATTAATTTTAATGTAAGTACATACAGTACTTAAAGCCACTTAATATAAAGTGGGACCCAATTAATTTAGTAAACCTTTTGAATATACTTGGTGGCAACAATGAATGTTTGGTTGAAATGACAGTTTATCTTTACGTTCCGAGCGAATATAATACACACACTGAATATTGTTAAAAGGCTAAAGGCTATTTAGACAATTTAGTATCTCTGCTGTAAAAAATACATAAATAAATAAAATTTAAAAAAAAAAACGAACACCAAACGAACAAACAAATTTAAATGAACACCTGAACTGCGCATAGATCTTCCCATCTCCAAAATAGATGTCATATTTCTTCTCACACTGATATTGATGAATTTTCAGAGCGGCAAATGGTTCAGGTTTCTTTATGAAGACCACCTGGGATATTAAGAAAAAATAATAAATCACATTATTAATTACAAGAGAAAGAAATCTGTTGTTTTTATGAATGAAACAAAGTCTTCTTTAAACACAAATGAACAACGTTGTCAATCAAGCAAAAGCAGACTAAAAGCAGAGTCGTGTATACCACATGTCAAACTTGCTGATTAGTGTAACTTGTGCTAAACAAGCACTTTAGAGCCGTGCACTCTTGATCGATTGACACGCGAGTAACTCACCGTCAACATGACGTCACATTTTGACAGCCTGTCAGAGAAACTACACGTTTCTTTCAACGGGAGTTATCAGTGAAGCTGGTTACATAACAGCACAACTCAGAGCTGTCCCAAAATCATGTATTAAAAAAAGAAGAACTTTGTCCCTATTGTATCCATGGCTTTCACATATGTCTAAACAAATATGAAGTAAGCTAACATTACACTGTGACGGACGAAGCAAAAAAGTAAACTAACGTCAGTTGTCACGGGAAACGTCAGGCAATAAATCACCACTGCTATGCTAACGTAAACCAGCTAACATCTGTGTTTAACAACAGATATCATAACAATGACTCAAACAAATGGATCTAGTTCACTTCTAAGAGATGACAAAACGGAACTAAACCTTTTCAGGTCGTCTCGACCTAACAAACACAACCGCTGCCATTATGAATCGACAAGCTAGCTAGCTAGTGTGATGGGAGTGGTGGCTCTGAGGCCGTGTTTCCGCGAGTGTGAGCTGTGTGTGTGTACAGCAGCAGTGACCGAGGCCTGTGCTCTCGCTGCTGGAGGAGAGGAGAGGGCGAGGCGGCACCTTGTCGAGCTGTTCCCGGCAGACGGCGCAGTACTTCTGCTCGCACAGCACCCGCATCTTGGTGGAGCAACGGTAACACACCGGGTGATCGCACTTCCCCACCGCGAACATGTCGATGTCCTGGCAGCACAGCACACATGTGCTCTCCATGTCTTTCTTAAGGGTGGATTCCATACTGTTAGAAGGCACTGGCTGTGTGTGCTGTAGTTTTCTCGGTATAATCCGTATGGATTTGGAGGGCTAGTTGTAAACGACAGCACGGGCAGTGAGGCCGGGTGAAGCGCGCTCCTGAGTGCGTAATCGTTCAGCGCAGTGCATTGTGGGGACTGATCCACTCGCCTTAGACAGGAAGAGCTTTTATTATGACACACCTGCGTTCCCGTTCTGTGCGTGAATTAAGTTAAAAGTACTATCCTAATTATATTAATATGATTTAAATTATATATTATATTTTTTAAAGTATAATGTCATATCAATATGATTTAATTATATTACAAAAATCATTAATATAATAATAATACATCACACATTTACTATAACATCAATTTAACGTAATCTTTCAGGCCAATTTTGGGCCAAATGTGCAAAATCATGAGATGTCTATTGACTTAATATTCATTCAACTGTCAGTATTGATGAAAATGACCATATATGAATGCAATGACAAATACTCAAGAGACGTTCAGATGTGTGATGAAACTTTATTCAATACAAAATACATAAATAGAGCATTTGCAGGTGAAATCAGTGGCAGAAAATATTTGTACACATAGAAACACATTTATATATGTTGACATCAAAGCTGCGGTGACAAAATAGGGCAACTCACCATCGTTTGCAAATTAATTTTACCTCTACCAATCCCTTTTATGACAGCCATAACACATTTGATAAGCATAATTAAAATAAGAATATTCATTTCCTTGGCTAAACAAAATTCCCTGTCCAAGTTCAACAAACATTCAAAATTAGAAAAAAGTAGTCCATAGACAGGACCATAACTTTTTCTTTTTTCCTTTTTTTTTTAAAAAGCACAATCTGTAACTAAAGCTAAAACAGCCTTGATATGTGAAGACCAAACCTTAGTAGCACTAGACCACTAGATTGCCAGTCATAGCAATTACAGATTGCTTTGTTAATTAAAATCGCTTGGTTCAACCCAGTTAACTGCAGCATTATTATGGATGTACTCGGGCAGTTTAAGGGCATAAAAGCATAAATTCTCATTCTGACACATAATAAATGAAATAACATTCCACATAAACTGTGCAATTCATTATTCCATCAGCATTGGCATCAGAGACTACATCCCAAAAGTGAAGCAGTAAAACGGGTCAAGCTGACGGAATGAAACATTCAAAGGCAAACAATACAAAAAAAAAAAATCCGGTGTGAGGCACCAAATCAGCATTGCGTTAGGGTGAGATCTGAAACAGACATGGGTGTTGTGCTTTCAAGAACTAAAAGTCTTGGCAGTATATGTGATATGCATCTACTAAATAAAACACGAAAAGTGTCGCCCAAACAAAAGATATAAAGAGTCATCTCTAAAATAACCGCTGCAGAATTTAGAAAATGTAAACAGACAATTCACAATACTTGTGCAGCTAGATGGTTAAAAAACTTTAGACTCTCCCTCAACAGATATGTTCTTCTAAAAACCATCCCTTAAGGAATACAGCATTTGATCTCTTAACGCTTACCTATGCACTGTTTCATTTAGACTTTCTGTGACTTTAAATCTACATATAAATATAAAACTCATTAATATTGCATCAATTAGCAAATATATACGTGTGAGCTTTTTAAAGAGAGTGATGCAGTGCACATTGATAATGGAAGGGCTATTCTGTACTCAGACAGACCGTGAGAGGCTGATTTATGCAGGTGCAGTCTTGAACACGCTCCATGCATGGAAACAACGGGTAAAACAGTGAGGCTCGTTGCCTTTGCGCACCAGGCGCAGTTTTCTCGGGTGCTCTGCATCCTTGGACCTCATGTGTTGAATATAGACCTGATTGAAGGGCGACACAAATGTTAAGCAGGCATCATGGGAAGTGCTGGTGTATAATAAAACTGACACTCAATATTTCACTGACCTGACAAGCCTTCAAGCTCAGTTTAATCTCAACCTGGCTTGTCTGTGTGCCGACCCACATGTAAACCTGTAAAACAAGCAAACAAACATCTCAACAAAATAGTAGTTGTAGCAGTAATATGTTGTTGTTGTTGTTTTTTTAATGAGGGTGTCAGCATCTTAATGACAAAAACAGTAACAAAAATACAAGAGTTGCATAAATAAAATAAAAATTAAAAAACAAAACAAAAAGGAAAAACAAAAAAGCATGAAATCTTATAGATGTTTTAACATGATACAAATTCTAAATTCTTTTTTCATAAAATTTCACAAAAATTCTTACACCACAAGACACAATTCAGCAAAAAATAAAAAATAATTGCAGCCAGGATAATCTGTCCAGGTGCAAGCATGATACTCTACCTCTTTCCCATTGTCCAAAAGCATGATGTCATCATCAGCCAGGTCATCTTGACAGAAGTCTGAGCACTTCTCTGATACAGCAAAGTAACCCTTTTCATTTGAGCACCTGAGATCAGAAATTAAATCTATTATTACCTCAGAAATATGGTCAATTAAATAAATAAATAAACATAACTATTGAAAAGTTTAGGGTCAGTATGCTCACCTAAGGTGCATTTATTTTGATTTAATATCATACATACACTAGCATTCAAAAGTTTGTGGCTGATGAGAGTTTTTAATGTTTTTAAAAGTCTCTTATGCTCGTCAAGGCTGTATTAATTTGATAAATACTGTAAAAACAGTAAAATTGGGAAATATTACAATTTAAAGTAAGTTTTCTATTTGAATATATCTTAATGTGATTTATTCCTGAGATGAAAAGATACATTTTCAGCATCATTATTTCAGTCTTCAGTGTCACATGATCCTTCAGAAATCATTGAACATGGTTTGATATTTTTGTGAAAACCATAATACATTTTTTAGGATTCTTTGATGAACAAAAATTCAAACATTTTTGAAATATGAATATTTTTCTTAAAGTCAACAAGATTTTAATCTTGTTTATATGTATATGTGGTGTTTTTAAAATCCTTTAAGACAAACCATGTGCAAATTCATAAATCAACACCATTTACAAGTATTTTCTCTTTAAAACTGCAGTGATCTAAAAACAGTCTCAAAAACATGGTTTGAAATGAAGGCATGAAGAAATTCTCACAGGAAAAAAAAAACGTTTAAATATGTTTTTTCAAAGATGAGTTTTAAGGGATAAAATTATTGACTACATGGGGACTTCATCACTTTTGGTTCAAAAATGCATATCCTTGCTGCATATTTTTTTTCCCTTAAAAAAGAAAAAAGAAAAAAGACCCCAAACTTGTCTTTAAATAACTTTTCTGAAACTAAATCCTCACCTAAACAGTCTTGCGTATTTCATGTACTCTGCATCTTCATCATATGGCTTCTGTGAGCCAATGCCAACCCAGAAGAAATTTTCTGGCTCTTCTCCTTCATTTATCACCTGAAGAAAAGGAAAAAAAATAGTTAAAAAAAAGTCAAGATGATGTAGTGAACATGTTTTTGATTTTCATAGCTGGAACGAACCTGTTTGCTGTAAGTGTCATCAAACATGGTGTTCATGATGTCCTCTGCCAGTTTAGCTTCATCAGGGTCTGCTGCTCGGCCCACCCATGTGTAAACTATCCCCTGGTTGTCTGTACTTTCAAATGGCACCTAAGTAATATTATAGTTATCACAAACCATTGCAAATAGTAATCTTGATTCCTTTATTATTATTTAACGATTTACAATACATGAACAGGTACATCAAATGCCAGTTTACCTTCAATATGAAGCAGAATTCAGAGTTGAGGTTACTGGAATCTGTGGCTATTTGAATAGTCCTAAAACACAACAGAAACACCACACATGTTCATTTCTTTGACTTGAGGATTAGCTGATGAAAAGATACTTCCTGTACATACATTATAAAGTTACCTGGTGCACAGCGCACTTCCATTTGTCCTGATGTGGTACAAGCTTGGCTGCACACTGTCCACTTTTAGCTTCCTCTTGCCTTTGTGGATAATGAACTTTCTCTTAAAGTGTGACAAGAACTTGAGATTTTCCTGTTGCTGTTGCATCCTCACAACCTGAAATATGCATGAGATTTGACTTCTCTTTAAAATAAAAAGTTACCCCACCCCACCTCGATCTTGAATGAACACCGTTTGTGTGTGTGCGCGCAAGGAATAATTGACGACAGGCCATTGTATTATTCAAAAAATAATGCACATCGGTGGTATTGAGTCAACTATTCCTCTTATACTACGGTTACCACACCTCAAAACATTGTTCAGATATTGTAACTCAAGACATCTGTCAGGTTTTTGTCCTTAAAAGCTTACGGATCTCATCCCAAGCCCCCCGTTGCAAATTTCAAAACGTTATTTTAAAGCTAGTAACGGAGGCTTCAGTCAGACAGTACTTTCTTAAAAAGGATATCTGTAAATACTGTCTGTTCAGAGCATTTCACTTTTTATATCATGAGAATTTGGCCAAATGACAGAAGAAACTAAGCCCCCACATAGCTACAGTAAACTTCGTAACCTGTAAGTTGATGAAAACATAATGCAATGCACTTACTCCCACAGATATGCCAGTTCTAATGACGGACAAAACACGCATGTTCGATATTCAAGCTCGATTTTAGTAACATTTGTTAACAATATAATGGCACATGCAAGTGTCCGACCATAATATAAAGCCAAAATATCATCGTTGACAATGTGCGTTTAATGATTTAAAAATATAGTGTTTTTTCCATTTCCTGAAAAGTAGCATTTTTGGAGATACAAGGTTTCCACCCGTCAGAGATATGAGGTCAAAGCAATAAGAGTCACTACAACAAAACGATGAAATTGTTGAGATCAATTTTATAATGGAGCCATTGAATTAACCATGTTGGCATGCAGTACCTCTAGTTTGCCAGGGAACAAGCTCTCAAACTTCTTCTGCAGGCTGAAAGTGAAGGTCAACCAGCCCATGTTGGAGGCCTCACGGCCCTGCCAGAAGTAAACCACACACTGGAAGTCTTCCTCAGGCTGTTTGTCCTCATCATCTCCATCTTCTCCTTTCACTTTTGTTTTCTCCTGATCATCCTCATACTCCACTGGCACCCAGTACCTGAGACAGACACAAATATCACATTTCAATTAAAGATGAAAGTAATAACTATCTAAGTCAGTAATAGTTAATTTAGCAATATATACAAGTTAATATATATGTCTGAGGATTTAAAGGTACAATATGCAGGATTTTTGCATTCAATATCCAAAAACCACTAGGCCAATGTTATATATTTTGTTTAGTTGATTACTTACAATATCCCAAATCTTTCCAACTATTTGTAAATTGTGAGAAAATTGCGATTTTTAACCAAGGAAACGGGGCATGTGAGCAGGGGTGAGGAGTCGCCAGTCAATGACGACATATCACCGTTACCCCCCTTTCCGCCAGGTTTGACCTCGTACTGGAATAGTAACCATGGCGACAGACGTGGACAACTGGGTCGGTTATGCCCGTTATCCGTGCTCAACAGCGTAAGCCTCCCTACCTCCCTAGTTTTGTTCAAACATTATGGACCATGGCAAGCTGTCTTTGAGACAAAAAGAGGGCTAAAACGAAGATCAACATATTTCTAGATGCTGAGAGGTCCACGTCCGCGACTAACTTCGACTTAACAAAGACATGAGTGTTGCATGTTACTTGAGCAAATCAATGTATATAAAACTAATCAATGTTTTATAAGTTAGAATATGATCTGTATGTTATTCTCTAATGTTAATCTAGCTTAGTCTCATGCAGCCAACAAACAACCTAACTAAGAATATTCAACACACACAAATGCAGTTTAGTGTGATAGTGAAACTGTTACCTCAAGTTTAATTCCTCGAATAAACTGACCTGTTTAAGTAATTAAAAGTTCGGTAGAATTAAATGTCCTTATTCTCTTATATCCGCAGGACTTGCGTTGCGTGTGGCGTTGATATACGTCTAGCAATCGCGCCCTGCTTCATACCACAGTCATGTTAAAAACATCAATGTATTCACTTATTCATAAAAGATCCATCAGCTTGACGACAAATTCCATAATTCCGCTTAATATATATGCCTTTGTTATTGTAAGACGTTAGCGACCGCTAGTGGCGAAACAATCTTGCATATTGTACATTTAACCTAGTTTATCAGAACTCTATCAGAAAATTAAGTGACATCACAACTTGGCTGCAAGTTTTGCAGTTAATTTTAGTGAAGCCCTCTGACCAACCTGCAGAGAAACACGTAGCAATCCTGAGTGTTAAAGTGACCAAACTCCTCCTCTGGTAAACGGGCAAACTTCTTCCCCTCCAGAACGAAGCCCTCCATGCCGTCCAAATCCTCATTCCACTCCTCCATCATCTGCTCCGCCTATCAGATTTACAACAAACCCACAAAGAATTGTATAGATTTTTGACAGAACTACTCGGGACTACTCATCCTAAAAATGAAAAGTTGGCTGATTAATGAGCTGTTAATTCAGGTCTCACCTCAGTGAGAGGCATGGCTGGCTGTCTAGGCAGGAACAGAGCCGTTAGATCAGCTTTCATTTGGTCTTTCTGCTCTGCATCCTTCTTCACCTTTCCAGACAAGCCCTCGTTTTGTTTCACACTCTCTGCGTTCCTGGTATAATCCACCTTCAACACGTCATCCCAATTCTTGAACTTGGATTTAAAGACCTGTTGAGCGCAGCGCGGAATTAGAACAGAGTGTTGTGTCATTTAATAGAGTATCTTTAAATAAAGGAAAAACGTTTTTTAATCTCTTATTTTGGCAATGTTACCTGTCCCTCCGTGCCCTCCAGGTTACGGATGACCACGGCGTGTTTTGGCCGATGAAGCATGCTGCACACCTCTTGGCCCAGTTTCAAAGCAGCTGCCCTAACAAGACGTGGGGACTTCCGGCCAATCCAAATGAAGACATCTGACCAGCAATCTAAGATGTAGACACCTTTAGTGTCCAAAAGACCTTGTACCTATAACAAGAAAATATTCCACCAGTTAGTGTACTCAAGGCATGATTTAGGACCCCAACCCTTTAAATGGTAATATACATTTTTCCTAGAATTTTTTGCTGTTACAATCATTATGGAAATGTTATTACCAGTCTGTGCTCTGGAACCACATCTAGTTTGAGCTTGTCCTTGTGCTCCACAGACAGTTTGTAGTTGATCTGAGGAAGTTCAAGGTATCCCAACCCCAAGCCAACCTAACAGAACAAGAAAGTACTAAATATTTTACACCGTGGTGGTTTTAGAAAGGAACGCACAACAAGCCATAGACCATCCCCTGACCTTATAGAGCTTGGGTCGGACAGGAGTGAAGTCATCAGGGACATGTTTCTTGATTTCTTCCGGCTGTCCCCCAAGCTTTTCCCAGAATTCCGGGGGTTCATGATTCTGCATCAAAGTCGTAATCTCTGCTTTGCTTTTTCGCTCATTTTTGTTAATCTTTTCAGCAAATAACCTGTAAACAGTACTGGGACTTTTACAAATCTGAACAAACAGACAAGGGAAAACAAGCTTAATTGTTTGCATACATTACCTTGCTTTTGTAGTACCACCAAGTGTTGCATTTGCTCCTCTCCAAATAAATAATTCAAGACCAGTGTCCAACAAAAAGACAAATCTTTAAACAGAAAAAAGAAAAAAACGGTCAGACTGAGTCACTCTTATCAACATACACAGAGCAAATGGTACCCAAAACTCACCGTGGGTCCAGTGAGGATGCTTTCAGAGGCACAGATTCTAATCTGATGTTCTTTTTCCCATAAACCCTGTACAACCTGCCCAAAACACAAAACAAACAGGATTAGTGTGAGTCAGATCATGGGTGAGGTATAGAGGCAGTCCTGGGTGTTGTTTTTTGGCGGGGCACCTGGTCGGGTATTGCGTGTCCTCTACGGTGAAAAATCCGCTAGAAGTTCCACCCTCGATGTAAGAAATCTCATTGTCGAACACCTAAAACACAGTGCAAAAAAATATAGCTAAGCATATGCTGATAATGCAGCATTACATCAATTTGCACAGGGAATGGCATTTGCTTTACTGACCGCAGTGAATTCTTCACTCTCATCTCCCATCTCCTCTCTGATTGTCCTACACTCAGCACCCAAATAATTACGGAGATTGACAGCATGGATAGCAGAGCCGGCTTTCTTATCGAGCGTAGCTTCTTGCCCGATCCAGTAATAGATATGCCAGTTCAGGGCTCCGTTGTCATCTAAGAACGTCTGTAAAAGTGCATTACAAAGCTTTAATTGAAAGAGTGGATGCAGAAGATCTTATAAATGAAAAACACAATATTTAAACTAGAGAACTTTAAATGGATACTCCACTTTTTTTGGAAATAGGCTCATTTTACCACTCCCCCAGAGTTAAACAGTTGAGTTTTACCGTTTTCAAATCCATTCAGCCGATTTTCTGATATTTAGAAGAATATCAGTAGCCAGGCATTTTCTGGTCTCATTGACTTCCATAGTAGGAAAAAAATATACTATGGAAGTCAATGAGACCAGAAACTGTCTGGTTACTGATATTCTTCTAAATATAAAAAAAAATCGTCAGAATACATTTGAAAACGGTAAAAGCCAACTGTTTCACTCTGGGGGAGTGGTAAAATGAGCCTATTTCCAAAAAAAGTGGAGTATCCCTTTAATAAACATGATGATCATTCGATTTTTTTACAGGGCTGACCTTAAGAATAATGTAACAGTCTGCTTCATAGAACTTCCCGTGGAAGGCCTCGTCCACCTGCATGGGTACAAAGTTTTCTATCTGCCAAACCGTAACACCAGGGATCTGCCCCACATCCTCCAAGAAGAACTCAGAGTAATCGAGCTGAGGTTTCTCTAGGTTCTTGTCCCAGCGTTTGGTTTTCAGGTCAGAGTATTTCATGTCTCCATTCTCCTAAAAGATCAAGAGGCATGTGAAGACCAGATAGGTTTGGACATGAACCAATATAACGGCTCCAACATTATTGCTCTGCTGTTCCCTCACCTCAATGGATTTGTTCTTTTCCTGAGCCACGTCTGACATTCCCTTCAGCACCTGTTTAGCTTGATCATCCTGGGCTGAGTCCTTGCGTCTTCTTAGCCTCATCTTCCTGGCCATATGATCTCTGGGACTATTCCCTTTATAACACACAAAGATCAAGTTGAACTTTGAGCTGTATTACAGACATATTTTCAGTTTTGTTACTTCAAACTCAGCATCGTCAGCCAATAAAGTCAGTTTGGAAGAGGACTAAAAAAAAACATATTGTACCTCCACCAGCTGCTGCCACAGTGGCTGGAGACGCACCAGCTAAACGCAGCTGGTTCTGCAACGAGAAGTCTATGTTGTACCACTCAGCTGTCCTGTCTACTGGTTTAGGGGGCATGACTAGATTTGGATTCTCACGAACATCCAAAACCTAAGACATCAACGTCACAAAAACAACTTTAATCAGCATTTATTAACTGGTTTAACATATGCATGAGTATTTGTTGCTTTAGTCTTTTGAATAAGTACATAAAAACTTCCACTAGTGTTCAAAACTTTGAGCCTGGTAAAACATCTTTAATTGATTTGAAAGAAGTATCTAAGGGCTGCACGAACTTGATCAAAAAATAAAGTTACACCGTAAACACAACAGTTATATTCAGCAAATTTAAATAACCGTTTTCTATTTTAATATGTAATTTATTTATGTGATAAAGCAACATTTTTGGCATCATTACTTCAGTGACAAATCTGCTTTGCTGCTCAAGAAACATTTCTTCTTCTTATTATTATTATTATCAAATAATTAATTAATATTTTGTAGAAACTTCATTTTTTAGGATGTGTTTATAGATATTTCTTTATAAAAGAGAGTTCTTACCTCCAGGTCAGTGAGGAAATGGATGGCCTCTGGTAATGTCACAAGCCGGTTCTTGTTCAAGACCAGCTTCTTCAATTTTCCACACCTGATCAAAATCAAAAAGCCACATATTACCATTATCAACAGGATATAAGTTGGTTTTATAATTATATCTAATCACCAATAAACGGTCTCAGTTCTCACCTGCACAGCCCCTCTGGAACGAGCTCTAAATTATTATTTGCGGCCATAAACTCAACCAGGTTGGACAATTTTCCCACACCAGATGGAAGCCCATCAAAATCTATTTTATTCGAATTCACATACAGCTTCTTCAGCTTGGAAAGCTTGCAAATGGCCGACTGCACATCACCCGGACAGGGAAAAAGAAGAGACAAGATTAGCAAACTAAATATATCAAATATAATCTAAATGACAACATTACTAAAGCGAAGAAGCATCAGCTCACGCACAAAAGCACTTTTTTAAAAGCCAAACAACTTCTGATAACTGATAAGTTCCTCTGTTTTACTTTATTTGGCAATGAGGGACTTACAGGCAGAGACGTGAGCTGATTCCTAGAAAGGTTGAGCGTCTCGAGTTTGGTCCACTGATCTATACACAGTGACAGTTCAGATATCTGATTGCTGCTCAGATTTAGCCGTTTGAGATTAGTCAGCGAGTACAAACATTCTGGTACCCGAGTCAGATCATTGCAGGACAGGTCCACATCTACACAAAAATGCACAAAAAGATTCATTTGAAACAATAGCAAATAGAAACAATGATGATTATTTTACAGAGAGAGTAGAAACACCGCTAGATCTCTACCTGCTAGATTGGTGAGGCCCTCCAGACTCGTGGGCATATTATTTTGGGTACGTTGTGTGTTCCTTAAATGGAGGGTCTGAAGAGCTACCATAGCAGGTAACTGCCTGTTACGACAAAGGCATACAAGTGACACAGATTGGAGTCAATGTTTATCAGAGGCAATGTTGATAACACAATGTTGTCATCTGAAATGAATGCAGCCTTCCTCCAATATGGCATAGACGGAAATTAAACCATAAAAACTACGTGTCTTACCTCAGCTGTGCGTGCATAAGCTGATTGTTATTGAGTATTAGGGTCTGCAAATGGACCAAGCGTCTCATCTGAGGAGGCAGACTGTCCAAATTATTGTTACTGAGGTCCAGGTACAGCAGGTCAGTGAGGTTGATGAACAGCTGATTAGGTATGTTATCAATGCTGTGAGAAAGCAAACATCAGAGAACGGTTTTAGACTAACATTTATGTTCACAGATATTCATGGTTAAAATCATTGTGACTACAAAAAAGGATTTGCACTTTGAACGCTGAACTATTTAGGGAGGGATGGGGGTAAATGATAAAGCGAGTTCGATCTGCACTACTTTTTTTTTTTAATAGCAAGTCCATGTGAATATGTACCAAAAAGACATATAGATTAGTGGTTCTCAAAATGGGGCTCTTGAGAAACATGAATATATTATGAGGTAGCCTAATTTTTTATAATTAAATAAATTAATTAAAGGAGTAGTTCACTTTTGAAAATCTTTTGCTGATAATTTACTCACCCCCATGTCATCCAAGATGTCCATGTCTTTCTTTCTTCAGTCGAAAAGAAATTAAGGTTTTTGATGAAAACTTTCCAGCATTTTTCTCCATATAATGGACTTCAATGGGAACCAAATGGTTCAAGGTCCAAAAGACAGTTTCAGTGCAAACTGCGAACTGTTCAAAGGGCTTTAAATGATTCCAGACAATGAATAAGGGTCTTATCAAGTGAAAAGATCAGTCATTTAAAAAAAAATAATAACAAAGTTTAAGTTTTATAAGCTCAAATGCTCGCCTTGCTCTGAAAACGAACAAATCTTTTTCCGAAGTCATTTGATTCATTCAACGAACAAAACGAATGAACTGACTCGGAAAAAGATTATTTCATTTTGATGAACGAGTTCGAACAAGAGAGTCAGAGCACTTGAGCTTATAAAACTTAAACTTTTTTTTTTTAAATGAGCGATCGTTTCGCTTGATCAGACCCTTATTCATCGTCTGGAATCGTTTAAAGCCCTTTGAACAGTTTGCAGTTTGTACTGAAAGTTTCTTTTCAATCTTGAACCATTTGGTTCCCACTGAAGTGCATTATATGGAGAAAAATGCTGGAATGTTTTTATAAAAAAAATCTTTTTTTGAGTTTTTTGAAAAGTGAACTACTCCTTTAAATCTAATTACTCCAGGAGCATTTTTATACTCGTGCCAAATTCTAAAATATTTTATTGGGTAGGAATTGAGTAAAACACTTTTTTTAACCCCTATCCACTAAAATCACAAACAACTGGAAAGGTCATGAGGCCTTCAAATATCGTTGTGGAAAATGAGGCGCCATGGCTCAAACTAAAAATAGTTCAACTTTTACAAACATATCCCACGATCCATGTGTTCTTTTCCATTCCATCAGTAGCACATCTAGCACAAAACCCAGTCTAGTCTAGTCTAAATGCATCCTTAAAGTGTTAGTTGACCCAAAAATGAAAATGGTCGCATAATTTACTCACCCTCAAGCCATCCTATGTGTAAATGACTTTCTTATTTCAGCCAAACACTATTGGAGTTATAGTAACAACATCCTGGCTCTTCCAAGCTTTATAATGGGGGCGAATAGCAACTTATATTTTGAAGCCCAAAAAAGCTCATCCATCATAAAAGTGATCCATACGGCTGCAGAGGTTAATAAAGGCCTTCTGAAGCAAAGCAATGTGTTTCTTATAACTTTAGAAAATAGTTTAAAAACTATGGTCACTGGCTTATAAGATGGGATAATTTTCATATTTGGGTGAACTAACCCTTGTACATCCCCAAATCATCACACAAGACATCTTCCAAAATACCACAGTAACAGATCACAATATAAAATCCTAATACTTTTAAAGTGTATTTTCATGATAGATAATTATTCTTCACTTCCAAGAACGTGGGTACAAAACAGACAGACATAGACCATACCTATTGTGACTGAGGTTTAAGACCAACATGTTTCTGGAGTTCTCCAAGTCCCGAGGGATTTCAGAGAGTTGGTTGTAGCTCAAATCCTGAATAGAGGAGGGAACAATACATACACACACCATCATTGCAGCACACAAACGATGACAAATTTGCATAGTTTCACTAATCAAAACACAGTCCTGCTTACATAAATTTAAATCATGCCTGTCATTTGGCACTTAACTGAGAAATAAACACGTAAAAGTATTTCTCTACATACCAGCACAGAAAGATCATCCAGCTGAAAAATATCATCAGGAACACCAGAGTTCTTCAGGCTGTTTCCTCGGGCCACAACCGCCTACAGCAAAACAACAAGATCAGATTAAACGATAGTCTGCAATGTAAATACATATTTACAAGAAAATAAAAAATTGACAAAGACTACAGTTCAAAAGTTTCAGAGTCAGTAAAGATTTCTTTAGATATTTTTGAAAGAATGTGCTCACCAAGGCAGCATTTAACCAAAAAACAGTAATACTGTGAAATTTAATTACAATTACAAAAAAACTTTTCTATTTTAAAACGTGAATTATCCCTGTGATGGTAAAGCTGAATTTTCAACAGTGTCACATGATCCTTCAGAAATCAGTCTAATGTGATTTGATGAAACATTTATTATTATTACCAGTGTTAAAAACATTTGTGCTGATTAATATTTGGAAACTGTGATCGTTTTTTTTCAGAATTCTTTGATAAATAGTAGGGTTGGGAATCGTGAGAAATTTTCCGGTTCCGGTTCCGATTCCGGTTCCGCCAAACGATTCCGGTTCCGGTTCCCATTCAATTAAAAATATTAGTAAGAGAAAAATCCACAATCCTTTTTGTGTTTATTTCTTATAGTACATGACAAATTAGTTTAACAGACTGGTTATGTAAACAAACTCAAAATATTATTAAGCAATCTTTGCAAAAAAAATAAATAAATTATATATAAAGGAAATAAAAAAATTCTGCATTCTCTATAATAATTTAGACCTCTCCTTTATTGTATCTCCAACAGTGAAGAATACCCTCTCAGAAGGAATAGTATTAGTATATGCTTTAACACACATATGTGTGTAGAACAGATTATTTTTTAAAACGGTTTGAATGATTGATTCATAAAGACTTTACTTATTTCATTACTGGATAAATTGGCGCTCTAGCAGTTAATAAACAGAACTGCATGCGTCTTGCGGAAGAACATTGTTGCCGGAGCTACTTCTCTCTGTTTATGTCCATGACGAGTCACGCAGGCATTGGGCTACTCCGCAGCAGCTGCGATCCGCCGGCCAGTCTAAAGAAGTCCGAGTATTAACGCTTATTACAGGCTTTACGTAGTGATTCAAGATAAGACAAAAACACGGTTTGAAAAAAAAACATTATGATGCACTCGCTCATTGTATATATTTTGTAAATTCTGAACACAAAAAATATACGGACTGCATCTGTTTTGACCACTACCGTCAATGTTTACTCAAACTATAATCTCACTAATTCTGTAACGGAAATCATTTGAATATGTGAAACAAATAAATATTGAGACTGTGTGATTGTAAAGCAGTTTCATATCGACAACTGCTCTCTCTCTCTCTCTCAGCGCAAATAGATTTGAATGTAGGCTAGAGAGTGACTCGGCGGTCGGCGCGCGCAGCGTGCGTGTGTCTGTGTGTGACAAATGCAGCGCGTGTGAGAGCAAATCGCAACTTCAGTGGTGAAGTTTTTGTCATTTAGGAATAAGACGGCGTCTTCTACTCCCAGCACTTCGCCCACATGATGATATCGCATCGGCACCAGAACCGTTTTCGGAACCGAAACTTAGGAATTTTGCACGGTTCCGGTATTTTTTCAAAAACACAACCGGTTCTGGAAAAGAACCGGTTCTCGGTTCCCAACCCTAATAAATAGAAAGTTTAAAAGAACAGTATTTACATGAAATAGAAATCTTTTGTGACAAAAATGCCTTTACTGTCACTTTTAATTAAGTTAATGCATCCTTGCTGAATAAAAGTAGTAATTTCTTTCAAACAAATAATCTGACACCAAACTTTTGAACAGTAGGGTATGTTGCAAAAATATTTATATATACTGGTACTTATGTGAAACACTAGTAGAGAACATGTCAAGTATTTCGCAATATGGTCGATCATATTTACCCTCAGGTTGGGAAGACTTGACAATTCTCCATGCAGTGTTGTGAGGCTGTTGTGACTCACGGACAAATGTTCCTGATTTCACACAAAAAGGGCAAAAAAAAAGAAGAAGAAAGACCAGAGAATGAATATTAGTAAGTTGACAAGGCCTAGTTGCAAAATATGAAATTGTGACTCAGCAGTGCAATACACAATCACCAGTTTCTGTAGGGAGGCCAGTTCTTCTGGAAGATAGCAAAGCCCCGTTCTGTTCAGCTTCAGCCATCGCAAGCTACTCATAGACTTGACATGCTCAGGAAAATACCCCCCCTGTATTCAACACAAGAGATACAAAGTCTAAAATCAGGTCATCGTGAGTCATGCGAATCAGTTTCTGCATTAATGATTTGGTAGTTTTTGATGGATCTGCTACACTGATGTCATTTCCCAAAGAAATCAGTCTGATGCCTGAATTTAATCTAAAACAAAATAAACCTGGTACAATGAAGTCATTTCAGGACAGAAAAAAAAATTGTGGGAGATTATGGGGTGTGTTTGCTATGGCAACAACATAAGCATGAGCCAGAACTGGGTTGATCAAATTTTTAGACACCACAGAGCCCCAAATATGAGCATCCTTCTGCAGGAGACACCCATTCTAATAAAAAAAAATCATTTTAATTATCAAAATATTATTTAGAAATTATTTAGTTTCCATTAAAGTACTAGTTCACTTTTAAAAAAACTTTTGCTGATAATTTACTCACCCCCATGTTTTCCAAGATGTCTTGATGTGCAGATGTCATGTCTTTCTTTCTTCAGTCGAAAAGAAATTAAGGTTTTTGATGAAAACATTCCAGGATTTTTCTCAATATAATGGACTTTACTGGTAACCAAACGGTTCAAGGTCCAAAAGACAGTTTCAGTGCAAACTACAAACTGTTCAAAGGGCTTTAAACGATTCCAGACGATGAATAAGGGTCTTATCAAGCGATACCATCAAAAAAAACAACTCTTTTCCTGAGTCAATTTGTTCATTCCGTTCGTTGAATGAACCAAATGACACGAAAAAAGATTTGTTCATTTTGATGAACGAGTTCGAACAGGAGTCACGAACGTGCATCACAGAACAGAGCAAGGCGACCATTTGAGCTTATAAAACTTAAACTTTGTTATTTATTTTTTTTAAATGCGATCGTTTCGCTTGATAAGACCCTTATTCATTGTCTGTTATTGTTTAATGCCCTTTGAACAGTTTGCAGTTTGTACTGAAACTGTCTTTTGGACCTTGAACCGTTTGGTTCCCATTGAAGTGCATTATATGGAGAAAAATCCTGGAATGTTTTCATCAAAAACCTTAATTTCTTTTCGACTGAAGAAAGAATGACATGGACATCTTGGATGACATGGGGGTGAGTTATCAGCAAAAGTTTTTTTAAAGTGAACTACTCCTTTAAGTTACATTTATTGTATTGTTTCTACTTATTATAGTACAGTATTGTTAGTAGGGATGCACAGAAATGTTAGCCGATAATTCTATTTGAAAGCAGATAACCGATATGTTGGCCATGGCCAATCTAAATCTAAAAATCATTTTTGAGAGCCAAAAACAAAAAAGTCTCACCATTAAAAGCCATGTCCCAAGCACAAAATTATAATGTTCTCAATTTAATTTTACGTAGCCTAATCCTATATGACAGACTTGAGCCGCACCTGTTGCACTTAACTAGCCTATGTTTTCCTTTCTGAAGTGATTCCAGTCATATTTCAAGCAATTCAAAACCATTATGACTAACAGTGCCCATTTGAAGGAAATCAATTTATCCACTTTAATATATCATCCAAATTTACTAATCAGGCTGATAATATAACATTAAAAAGTGAAATATATCGGCCTCCATATTGGTATCGTGTGCACCCCTAATTATAAGATGTATTTATTTTATTCAATCCTTTACATATTTTAATCTATTTATCTAATACTTTTCTCTAAACAGTTGCACAGACCCCCTAGCACTCTCTTGAGGCCCCTGGGGGCCCCAGACCCCACTTTAAGATAGAAAACAGTAAGCTGCTCAAACAATCATTTCGAAATGAGCAGATTTGACTGAAGTTGCTTTTTATGAGACAATGACTCAGAGCATCATCATCACACATTTACTCAAGTAAACTGAGACACTTGAGAGGCTGGGTAATACTACTGCATAAGGAACTGATGTAAAAGACTTCTGTATTTAATTTATTCGTGATTTTAAATGACAAAACCTTCCCTTTATATGCATATTGATGACATAACGATATGCTCCATCAGGTCTAAAAGAAGCTATTTCCCAACAACATGTTAAGACAACTGCGGCACATTTCATTTCTTGAGGCCAGAAGCATTACTGTCAACCAGCACAGCTGCACTGCTAACAAACTTCTAGTTATTTCCCTAGCCTGTCACACCACTTGATTGACCGCAACAAATTTTGACAAGTCGCGAGCTAACGCCCAGTGTTCTTCTAAGCTAGCACAGAGTTAGCACTGCTAGCTCACCATCTTAACCGGTTTTGACAAGCTAACTAACATACATCTCTTTCCTCGTTTGAGTGAATGATTTATTAACAATATCCCGTACCTATAGACGTATTGAATCAGAACTCTCACCTTAAAGTCATTCCCACTCAGGTCTACTCCCCTAATAAAGGGGAGAACTCCGGTCGCGGCCATGTCTAATTCAGGATATGGCAACAGAACAGTCGCAGCCTATTTCAGTTCGGCAGCGGCTGGTCGAACAAACACTCGCTCCCCCGCCCCCGCTCACATGGTACAGCCCACGACCTGCTCAGCGTCACCAGCAGCCACTCACTAAAAAATACATTTATGTTTCTATAAAAAAACAACCGTTTCTTAAACCCGCTAAATGCGTGGTAAACAACCTTTAGCAGATATTAAATGTTGACTAATAACACACTGATTAATGTTTTAATCATTTGTAATGACGTGGGAGAAATAAAGGGACCTTCTCATTACAGCTATGGCCCATCACAACATTCCCAGTTGTTCAGGTCATTGTTGAGGTGTTGGGGTTGTTTTCAAACTGGAGTCCTGAGTATTGGGAGTGGGTGGGGAGCTAAGAGGGTGAAAGTTAGGATGATTCTAAGGGGCCACTGACTTTTGGGGCCCCAGAGATCGATTTTATTAATGGAATGGGTGCGGTGGGGACCCAACCTCATATTATGTCATAGAGCCAAAAATTGCTGTCGGCACCCCGAGTGCTTGAGATGAAAAAAAAAAAAAAAAAACTGAGAAAAATGAAAGCATGATTAATAACACTTCATTTTAATAACTATATGATAAAAAAATATTAAAATGAGTATGAAATACATCTAACAGTACAGAAGTATAGTAACCCAAGTAGATTTTTTTTAATGTAACAATGTAGAAAATGACTAATATTAGTATATTTTTATTATAAATTAGCCATTTACATATGAATATATATTAAAAAAAAATGGCTGTGTATGTAACAATATTGTAAGTCATTTTATTCATTAAAAATGCATAACTATGCACAAAAAAATAATGTTTTACTTTAAAACAACTTTATTTTACACAATACAATTTATTATATATACACATACAAAACGTAAATAATAAATCAGACAACATTAATTTAATTTACATATGTATTTTACAAAATTTGCAGGAACTATTTTTTTTACTGGCCCTGAGGACAGGTGACCCGGGTATGACCCGGCTCATGACATATTCCACAGGTTCTTGGTCTTTTGGCTGTGGGAGGTTTGTTTGAGGCAGTGCTGGCCTTTTTGATCCCAGGATGTTTACCACCATTTCCTCCAGAAAAACCTGTGGCTGAAAAAGTGAGAGGAAATGTAAATTAATTATTAATTAACAACAAAAGACAATATTGAAGAAATTATTCCAAAATGAAATGTAGCACAATACAAAACAATCAAAGGCAACCTGAAAAAGAGAAACCAAGCAAATGACAAAATTCCTAAATTAGGAGTTTGCCGGGATGTTTAAGCAAAATACTGTTAAAAGGTTTGGGGTTGGGAAGATTGTTTAATGTATTTGCAAGTCTCTTATGCTCACCAAAGCTATATTTATTTGACCAAAAATAGTTAAACAGTAATATTGTGAAATAATATTAGAATTTAAAATAACTGTTTTCTATTAGAATCTATTTTAAAATGTAATTTATTCCTGATAACAGTTGTGCTGCTTAACATTATTGTGGAAACTCTCATACATTTCTTTCAGGACTTTTTTATGGATAAAGTTCAAAAGAACAATTTATTTGAAATAAAAATGTTGAAATAAAACAGTAACTGCTACTTTTGATCAATTCAATACCTTTGCAGAACAAAAACATTCATTTCCTTTAAAAAAAAATATCACACTGACCCCAAACTTTCGAATGGCAGTCTATGTAAGAATGATCTTGTTCAAGATATTCCAAATTATATTTAGCCTATGTATAAACAGTTTTTCAGTTTAAAAGCATGATAGACTGGTGTTATACCTGGAGCCACATTTTCATTTGTCCACAGGAAGAACCCACACTGCTGATCACGTGGTTTCCCACAGGTGTGGAACATTCGGCCGTTGTTCGGCCCATCTTTCATGACAGTCCTGGTAACTGCAGGCTCATTACAGTTACACATGGTTTCACCTTCATCACCTCCAGATCCTCTGTTGCTTTGCCTCTGCTGATGCATGTTCCCAAACCCGTTTGAGGGCCTGGAAGGTTGAAAATTCTGACTCAGGGGTCCCCTGTTTCCTGCGGGCGCTCCCTGCTCAGTGGGCTGGTCAGCCCACAGGAAGAATTTACAATCCCCCGTGTTACACTTGTAAAACTGACGGCCTTGGTTGGGACCCTCTTTGCGTACAGTGAGAAGAATGGCATCCTGACCACAGTTACACACAATGGCCCCGCCCTGGGCTGAAGCTGGTGGTTGTGCTGCCCGAGGAGGTGGCAGACTGGCTGGGGGACGGGTGCTGTCGGCTCGGGGTCTGGGTGCAGGAGGTCTCACGTTCTCCACCCTGGACGGGGGAGCTGAGTTGGTTCGAGGTACATGATGCTGATTTGACCCAGAGCTGTTATTAGGCCGAGAGCCAGAATCTCCTCCTCCTCCTCTGAGATATTTTAAGTTCAAGACCTCTCTGAGAGTCTCATCACATCCTCCAATGCAGCCAACAAATTCAAGGGGCATCATAGGTGGCAAACTTCCTCTCTTGAATTTAAACTTGAGCCTGTCAAAGACGTTATGAATAATACAAGAATCAGTATTAAAAAATAAACATTATTAATGTTCTTAATACATGGTACTGGTCTTATTGTTCATTGTTTTTACTTTAAAATAAGGTTCATTTTCTTAACATTAGTTAATGCCATTTGAATCGTGAACTAACAAGTAACAACATTTTTTCCAGCATTTATTGATGAAGGTTAATGTTCATGTATAAATATATTGTTTTATCGTCAATTCATGTCTGTTCACATAAATTGTTAAAAACTGTTAATATACACAACTTGACGTGTTTTAAAGTATTACTCAGTATTTCATATAATAAGCTATTGCATGAAATAAAGTTTCATATGAAACCTTCTTGTAAAACTTTTAGAAAAATACACTACTGTGCAAAACTTTAAGGGTCAGTAAAAATTGGATGTTTTGAATTTTCTCTGCATTTATTTATTATTACCAAAAAATATTATTACCTAAAAACAGTAATATTGTGAAATAATATTATTACAATTTAAAATAACTGTTTTCTCCTTGAATATATTTTAAAATTTTCAGCATCATTACTCCAGCCTTCAGTGTCACATGATCCTTCAGAAATCATTCTAGAAGCTGATAATTATTAATGTTGAAAACAGTTACGCAGGTTAATATATTTGTGAAAACCATGATACATTTTGTTCAGGATTCTTTGAGTAATAGAAAGTTCAAAAGAACTGAATTTATTTGAAATAGAAATCTTTTGTAAAATTATACATGTTGTAACTGTCATTTTTGATCAGTTTAATGTGATCTTGCTTAATAAAAGTAATCTAAGTATTGTAAAGATAAATGTAAAGTAAAGATAAATGTGTTTATCTTATATATTGATACACATTTATTTATTTTCTACCAACCCCAAAATTTTGAAGATAGAGTAACTGCTCTGCAATATTAAAATGATTACAAAGCAGCATAAGAACCACATTCCTTACATATGGACCGGATGTGGACGGCACGTCGAACAGATGCTCTCGTCTCTGCTGACCTCCAGAACTGTGTCTGGAAACCACACGGCTGCTTTACAAGCTGGAAATCCCATACATGAAAGAAGCATCCTGCACAAAGTGATATAAAAAAAAAAAAACGTTTAGAAAAGGAGTAAACAAACAACATTTTTTATTTCAGATTCAACCTGAAAACCCAAACATAATGTAGTCTTACCCTGTGCTGTCTTTCTTCCTCTTTAGCACCATGTCACAGTTACACTGAGGACACTTTCGCACTGGTAATGGCATCTCCATCTCTCCTTGTTCCTCTACGGTAATCTCCTGAGCCGGGCCCAGATAATTGGACAAGGCTTCATCCAATCTGCACACAATATGACAACAATTACACTCAATCCAAATTTGTATGTAGAAATGTAATTTGCAGTGTAACTGAAATTGAAATAAGTGATGCTACATTCAGACTCACTTCTTTGCCTTCCTCACGGATTCAATAAAAACAGCCTTGTATTTTGCCACATGATAACTGAGGACAGAAGCTTTGTCCTTCTGGCCCTCTGACACAAGTTTAAGATCCGCCTCCAGCTCCGCTCTCAGGTCTGGTTTAGACATTTCATACCCCATAGAGTTATACCCTGAAACAATGCGAAACTCAATTTCACACCAATCAGAGTTTGAACTGCCTCTATTATGCTATTTTAAAGGTTCCTAATTTAGTTTTGCATGCATCTACTAATAGTGTGCTGAAGTTATGACGTCACTTTGTAGGACAACTCAGAAGTTCCCTCGATCGAAAAGCTATGCGTTTTCCCCATACACTTTTGAAAAATGTCTTTGTTCAATAAAGAGTTGTGACCCTTACACGTCTTGTCTATCAAAATAATCTTCACAAGTTAATCCAAAATTTAAACATTTTGAAGACTATATAAAAGTAAAAAAAACACAAGCAGACACAATAAAGTTTAAAAAACCACAAGTAAAGGTTATAACTGGTGTGTTTTATGTCACAGACGTGTAAATATTTAGAGGCTTTGTTCACCATAGATGTTATTTCAGGCGATTTAGCAAAAACCCATTCAAAAAAACCCATAGATTTTAGAGAGAGGGAACCAGGAGTGCTAAAATGCTAACTCACTTCCGCGTTTTGGCCAACAAAGTGACGTCATACCTTCAGCACTCAATATGCTAATTTCATTACCTTCAACAAGACCCATGCCGAGCTCTCCAGGAAGGAACCTCTGGTCAGCCGTCAGCCCCACATACATGCGACTCTTTATGGTCTCAATGTGTTCAGCATGTGTTGCATCGGTTCCTGAAACAGCAACTCAAGCTGAGTGCCACTCTTTTTCAACAATGATGTCAAATATTTAAGGTACAAAACTTGACAGTACCAATGCCATGCTTCTCCATGAGCGATATCAAATCGGCCTCTGTCAGAAGCTGAGGTGGACTGGTCTGTCCTTCCACCATCTCAATCGCTGTGGGCTGGAACGTGGTGTCAGGCACATATAATGGAATTACCTGTGCCAAAA